TCATATGAGATGGGTGGCCATATAAATATGATAAATAAATAAATAAATAAAAATAATATCTACATAACATAAAGCATTCATTTTACCATTTTAAGTTTCTATATATGATCAGCTTATGTTTCCTTGCAAAGGAATGTAGAAATGACTTTGGAAAACAAATGGATAAAGTGTTATGGGAGGTGAAATGGCACTTAGTCCTGGGAAGTAGAAAGCATAAGAAATAAATTCAAAATTCAGGTTGTCCCCAGTTTAAGGAGTTCTGTTCCAAGGTCTGTCCTTAAATTGAATTTGTATGTAAGCCAGAACAGTATTATTGTCAATACTGTATAAGTAGTACTGTGTAAATAATTCAAACCATTGTGTATTTGACTTGAATCATTGTGTATTTAACTCAAATTTCACTACAATAAGCTCCATTCTTAACTATGGATTGTCTGTAACCCAGGCGTTCTTAACCCAGGGACTCCCTGTAATCCCACCTTAACTGTCTAAGGTATACGTTGGAACAGAGATAAACTCTTACTGGCCTTCAAGATTCTGTTATTATACTCCACAACAATAAAGTAACATTCCTAGAATCCTTGTGATGTCTATTTCTTGATCTGGCCTACCTCAGAAGATTGACTTAAAAAAAAAAAAGAACACTCTTTTTGTTTCTCTCTTCCAACACTGCAAACTGTTTTCTTAAACAGAAACATGCATATATATTTACTTAATTGTAAAATATGCTGGTCATATTTATCAGTCACAACTAAAGTTAACCATGACAATGTTTCATTCAAATTTTCATTCAATGGAAAAAACTGCTCAGAGTTACACTACTGTTGTAATCTTTAAATGATTTCTGATTGTAACCAGCCATTGTTAACTTGACATTCTCATGGAGTGCACTGCCTTTCTGGCTAGGGATAATGGGAGTTGGAATCTAATACATTGGGAGGGCAACAGATTAGAAAATGCTGTCCAATAGATCCCTTCTGTTTAGAAGAAAGTAGAAAATTCTAAACAACAAAAAAAGTGTGATTTTTAATATTTGTTTCTGCATTATTCTGCCATTATAAATGTCAGTCATTGCTGCTGCATTGGGGTTTTTTGGGGGTTTGACCCCTCTCTCCCCGGGATTTTACCATCTTTTTGCGGTGGACTGGGTGCGGAAGAGACCGCGAGGGGGTCTTACCCCCCCGGTGTGTTGACTCGGGCGCAACCCCTGGATGGAGTGGCAGGGTGTTGGCAGAACGCAGCAGTGTGTGGCGGAGAACAGCAGCCTTGGACAAGCTTCGGGCGAGCTCCGGTGTGGTGTAGTTGTGTGGTGCAGCGAGCCCCCAAAGCAGAGAGCTTTGTTGATCCCCAGCATGGTGGTGACTCGTGACGGCGTGGCGAGCCCCAGTGGGCGCTGGTGAACTGCAGCAATAGTACTGAGCCCACCTGGTCACGGAGCGGCGGAGGAAGCCTTCGCGGACCTCAGTGTGGGTGGCGACCTGCGGCAAGCCCTGAAAAAATGCAGCCCCAGGGGGGTGCAATGAGCCACGGTGAGTTCTGGTGAGCTCCGGCGTGGTGCAGGAAGCCCCGGCGAGTTCCAATATGGCGCGGCGAACCACAATGGCTCCCAGTGCAGCACACCAGGCCCCAGACCCAGCAGGCCCAGCAAGACCCAGACACAGTATACCCAACCCCAGGTCCAGCAGGTGCAGCGGGCCCTTACGTGGCACAGTGAGCCCTAGGGGGCCCTGGAGTAGTGCTGCGAGTTCCAATGACCCCAGGGCTACATGTTGTGCTTTAGTGAGCCCTGGAGCAACGTGGCAAACTCATGGGATGTGGGAACTTACAGGCGACTGGAGTCCTGGGAGCTTGGTGGTTTGGCACAAAGATGCTGGGCAGGTTGGGGAGGCCGTAGTGGACTTGTAGTCTAGCTGTGGAGGAAGATTGTTTCGCTCCAGAGAAACAGCCAGACAGCATATGAGGCCAACAGCCCTCAGTTTTAGACTGATGAATGGGGGATTAGAGCCTATCCACCCCCATTTAACCCCCCCCAGTGTCAGTGGAGAACCGTGGGGTCCCTCCAGTGTGAGTCTGGGGCTCCCTCCTGGGAGTGAGAGTCTGGGAGGGAGTCTGGGAGTGCATGAGGATATTAGGATA